TTAAATACGGTAATGCATGCAGGTCGTTTATCATTATTCTATAAAGAATGGTCAATGATTACCAAGGACCCACTGGTCCTTTCTTATATAAAAGGATATAGGATTCCCTTCAGTCGAAAACCAATGCAACCTGTATCACCATCAATTCGAAAATGTACTGAAAAGGAAAGGGCTCTTTTCATTCACGAAATTGAAAGCTTGCTGTCTTTAGGAGCAATTTCAGAGTGTGATAACAGATCTGATCAATATATATCAACAATATTTTTAATACCTAAGCCAAATGGTAAAATGCGCTTCATATTAAACTTAAAGTCACTTAATAAATTTATTGACACAAATCATTTTAAACTGGAGGATTTAAGAACGGTTATAAAATTAATATCGAGAGATTATTACATGTGCACAGTTGATCTGAAAGACGCATATTTTTTGTTAAAAATTCATGGGGAAGATAGAAAATATCTTAGATTCCAATTTGATCACAAAACATATGAATTTAATGTCTTACCATTTGGCTTAAATACAGCACCTTTTGTTTTCACTAAAGTCATGAAACCGGTCATAAAATTGCTAAGATCATGTGGTTACCTGTCCACAATATATTTAGATGACTTCTGTTTAATAGGGTTAGATGAGGAGTCATGTCTTAAAAACTTACAAGATACCGTAAAGTTGCTTGCAAGCTTGGGTTTCATTATAAATACCGATAAAAGTAATTTTATACCTTCTCAGTCTTGTAAGTTTTTAGGATACATTTTAGACTCAAAGAAATTTCAGGTCACTTTGCCAGAAGGAAAAATGCAAAAAATTAAATCTGCAATACACAAGTTTTCTAACTTAAAAAGGTGTAGAATCAGAGAATTTGCTAGTTTTGTTGGACTTTTAATATCCGCTTGCCCAGCCGTAGAATACGGTTGGTTATATACCAAATTATTTGAAAGATGTAAATATCTTAATCTAAATATCAGTAATAATTACGACAAAAATATGGATTTACCTTGTTATTTGAAACAGGATTTTTATTGGTGGAGCCGCACCATGGATAAAAGCCCTGCTTCTAAGATAAAAATTGACAAGTATAACCTAGAATTTTTTTCGGATGCCTCAAATACGGGGTGGGGAATTGCATGTGGAGACGACAGAGCAAGTGGTTTATGGAGTACAAATGAAAGTAGCAGGCATATAAATTATTTAGAAATTCTTGCTGCATTTATTGGTTTAAAGATATTTTCCAAAAATATGTCTAACTGCCAAATACTTCTCCGAATCGACAATACCACGGCAATTTCCTACATAAACCGTATGGGTGGTATTCAGTTCCCACACTTGACAGAGATCACAAAAGAACTCTGGCAATGGTGTGAACGTAAAAATCTTTACGTCTTTGCATCTTATATTCGATCTTCAGATAATTACCATGCAGATCAAGAATCGAGGCGAATACATCCGGATATTGAATGGCAACTAGCGGATTATGCCTTTCAACAAATCATTGAAAAATTTCATAAGCCTGACATTGACATATTCGCTAGTCGCTTAAATAATAAATGTCCAAGATATATATCATGGCAAAGGGATCCGGATGCATACGCCGTAAATGCTTTTACAGTGTCGTGGTCAAAATTAAATTTTTATGCTTTTCCTCCTTTTACAATGATTCTGAAATCTTTAAGAAAAATTATCTCAGACAATGCCACAGGTATTATAGTTGTTCCATTTTGGCCTACACAACCGTGGTATCCACTTTTTAAGAGTCTTTTAATAAGTGAACAATTAGTTTTCAAAGCAAATTCAAATCTTATTTTATCTACAAATTCCAGCCGCGAACAAATGCGCAACTCCATTACCCTGGTGGCAGGGGTCTTATCCGGGAGGCGATGATACGAAGAGGCGTCCCAGAATCTACTGTGGACATCATGCTTAACTCCCTTTCGGATAACTCGTATAAACAGTACGAAGGTTGCTATAAAAAGTGGTTTATTTATTGTCAACAGAATAAGTTAAACTTATACGAAGTATCAATTCCCGACATATTAAATTTTTTAACATCAATTTTTAACAGTGGTGCTCAGTATGGTACAATTAACTGTTATCGCTCCGCTTTGGCGTTGATCACTAAAAATAGTATCTCACAAAACCAAGAAATAAAAAGGTTTATAAAAGGAGTTTTTCGTACTAGACCTCCACTTCCTAAATATAATGAAGTCTGGAATATAGCTCAGGTTTTAAGTTGTCTTGAAAAATGGTTTCCCAATGAAAGTTTGAACCTGGAAATAATATCAAAAAAATTGATTACAATATTAGCCATTGCCACAGCAAATAGGGTACAAACCCTTTCCAAAATTAAAATTTGTAATATTGATAGGTCTTCTTCAGTAATTAAAATCAAAATTCCGGATCTCATAAAGACATCTAGAGTTGGAACAGCTCAACCATTGCTCGTTTTACCTTTCTATAACGAAAAGCCAAGTATTTGTCCTGCAAGAGTTTTGATTACTTACCTTGAAATGACTATGTCTCTTCGTGCTGATTCAGACAAATTATTTATAAGTTACCGAAAGCCATATAAGTCTGTTACTTCTCAAACCTTATCCAGATGGATAAAGAATACGTTACATTTAAGCGGAATTGATATTTCAATGTTTACTGCGCATAGTACCCGACATGCTGCTACGTCAGCTGCGCAAAATTTAGGTGTTAGCGTAGATCAGATTATGAAAACTGCAGGTTGGAGTTCGGAATCACATACGTTTGCCAAATTTTATAACAGGCCAATAAACAACAATTGTGATAAAGAATTTGGAATCACTGTTTTGAGTGCTTAATCAGATTATTTTTTCGTTTATTTCATAAGTTTTTATGTCACAAATAATATTGTTCTTTGGTTTTTTTGTTTTGGTTACCTTTTGTTTCGATGTTACAAAAATAAAGAAGCAACTTATGTTATATTTACTTTATTTATTATCCAGTTACCTATTACAATTATTAATATTTTTCGAATAGTCTCTAAATGTCTACATGTGTTATTCAAGCTAATCTCGAGGACGAAGCATGAAGTATAATTAGAGATTAAACGAACTTACCTGAAGTGAAGTTCTATCCTAATTATACGAAGGCTTCGTCCGAAGAGATTAGCTTCCCCCCCTCCCAAAAGTAATTATTATTCCCATATGTTATTCGAAAAATATGTATAATTAATACTCTTAACTAAATGACAGCTATGACGGGCGCCAGGGCTTACACATATTCCAAATTTAAAAGAAAAAAAACTAATAATTTTATTCTTTTTAGTTTATATATTCTCAATATAGTGTGAAATGGCGCGTGCTACGCGTACTACATGTGTTATTCAAGCTAATCTCTTCGGACGAAGCCTTCGTATAATTAGGATAGAACTTCACTTCAGGTAAGTTCGTTTAATCTCTAATTATCTACTCAATAAGCTAATTAAATTCACTCTTACAGTGATCTATAACAGTGCTCCATGTAGCCGGTTTGTCGCGACTTGTTGTGTAAGGTTACAGGGTTGCCACACGAACTTATATTCGAATAATAAACATGGGTAATTAAAAACTTCATTGGTGTGTATTTGTAATAAATAGATAAAAATAAAATATTAGGTTAATATAACTGTATCTATATCATTTGGAAAAATACCTTTCCTCTACATACATCATAAAATAGAGTTTCATTTATTAAGGTGCAGGTGAGCAAGTGTTTGGCGCGTTCGGCTGCGATCGTTGAGGTTAAGTAACTTTCGCAGTGGTCGGTCATTGGATGGGTGACCAAACATTTACTATCTCGAGCACCTTCGTGCTTCGGAAGGCACGTTAAGCCGTTGGTCCCGGCTGCATCTGCAGTCGTTAGCACCCGCCAATCCGCACTGGGCCCGCGTGGTGGGTCATGGGCCAATCTTCCTATACCATCCATAGGGAAGGCCTGTGCCCCAGCAGTGGGGACATTAATAGGCTGATGATGATGATGATGATGATGATGGTGCAGTATAGTACAGTTGCAAGCATTTTATTATTAGGTAACCATAAAAAATCCTTAGTTGATTCTCAATATTCTTCAAATCCTCAAAATTAAAGTTTGAATTATATAAGGACAGTTTTTTATTAATGCAATTTAGTGACATTATATTTTTACAGTTGTAACAAAGAAGATTGTAAACTATACTTTATTATAATTCGGGACAAAAACATATGAAATAAAATAAATAAATATTTCCAACACTCACACCAATTAGCCTAATCCCAAAGTGAGCACTGTAAGACTTGTGTTATGGGATACTAGGGTAACGGATAGAATACACATAATATACTGATACATTTAAATGTATATTAATATGGCAATATCTCGTATTCATCATATAACATCTGCACCACGGCGATTCGAACTCAGAACCTCTGAAACACCTTGAAACCCGGCGTACATACATCTCGGCCACGGAGGTCCTCAAATTCAATAACACTTCTCATTACTATCACTTTCAAGTTATACCTACTTATTTATGTATGAATTTGTGCCGACGACGTATGCGCTGCAAACAAAATGAAATTAACGAATCAGTCTACGTTAATTTAGATATGTTTTTGATTAAATGAAGAGCTGGTTTTACTTCTTTAAATGTTTTGACCTAAGAATATTGTTTAGTTATAATATCAACACTTATGAACTGCTTTATATTAAAATTAGCTGACCCAGCGAACTTCGTACCGCCCTAAAAAAATAGGGGTTGTCCAGCGGACAAAATTGTGAATCTAAACCATTCTCAGATCCCCTTGAACACACACAAAAAATTTCATCAAAATCGGTCCAGTCGTTTAAGAGAAGTTCAGTGACATACACACTCACAGAAGAATTATATATATAAAGATAATATATTTTGTTTTATTTTAAAGCGGGCCGCGAGGCGACAACCCTATCCAAACATATTTATCGATATGTGAGCTCGTCGCGTAGTTAGCCACTTCGAGTAAGAGGATTGTGCAGTAAAGATGTTAAGTTTAGTTTTGTGTTGTGTCCTTGGATTGAACGTAAGTGTCTTAATTACTAACTATATATTTGTCGACCATGTCAATGACCGATAAACCTAGAGATTGTCTTTATGTGGGTTTACCAACGATATCGTTAGCGTGAACGTATTCTTTGTATTTAAACTTTCGCTCTCTGAGACCCAAGCTTTTTGACAGCTCGTAATCATATCGTCATCGTCAAATTTTGTATGGAAGATGCCAGTTTGTTCTTACGTCCGGTAGGGGCGCTGCTTAGTTTTAATAGAAACTTTGACGATGCGATACATTTACGGAGCTGTCGAAATTCGAGCTTGGGCCTCTGTACCCTTAGCACGAACCATTATCTAATTGGAATAGTTTGCGAGTGCGAAATATCAATGTCAAATTTTGTATGGCAACTTGAACAGCAGCGCCACAAAGTACATAAAGAGAACTACTAAAAATCAGTACACATTTAACAATGACATTTCGGACTCGCAAACGTTACGACTTCGATATATGCTCGTGCTAAGGGTTCTGATCTAGTTATCTATCTATTGGTACCGCTTAACTGAGCGGGGACCGTGAGAGATGCGAGCGGCAGGCACATTCTTGTCAAAATTACAAATGCCCGCCGCCCGCACCTCTCACGGTCCCCGTTCTCGTCCTCCCCCACACCCTGTACCCCGCAGGCGAGGACTCAGTTAAGCGGTTTACCTATACGAATTATATAAGAAAATAGACTTTATTATTCGTTGAGAAACTTATAGATGAACAAGTATTGTTGTAAGCGGTTTTGACCGAAAACGCTCTAAAATAGTGATCATTTTACAAGCTTAATTAATAGTTATTGTGAGCAGTTTTGATATAAACTTTTTATATTTATCAAAACTGGATCGAGCAATCTATTTTACGAGTGTAACGGATGGTTTCAACGAATAGATTTTTTCTTTCAGACTATTTTGGCAGAGAAAGCGCCTCGTATGGAACTCAACGATGGAAATAAAATACCCACAGTGGCTTTGGGCACCGGAAGAATGACGGCTGGAGGGGTGAGTGGTGTTTCTTGTTTTCAGAGCTTTCGGAGAAAATGTATTCGAAACAGGCATAAGTATAATATTAACAAGCTGCGCCTGCGACTATATTTGCGTGGATTATGGAAAATAACAACTTGTAGTACGTACGCAAGGGAAGGTAACATGATTCCGGGTTCTGCTTTAATTTATTTAAGCTTGTACTTCTTTGTAAAATCATCATCAATCTGTTCAAATACAGATTGATCAGGTTATTTACACGCAAAAGAACTATACTATTGGATGTGTAAATTATAATCTTTTTAAGGTTTTTCAGTAAGTATTATACCTATAATATGTTTCTCTATAATCAACCATAACTTTTCAATTCCCGAACAGAGTTGGATGCGTCAATTGTATCCCTACATCATGTTGAGTGGATCTGGTGATGTATTTAGGTCAAGGAAATCATTTCCCAGGCAGCCTTACCTTTGTTAGAAAATAAAAGTTTTTTTTAAATATTTTTATAGACGCAAAACGACGAAGTGCGCGATGCCGTATTATGGGCAATAGAAGCAGGATACAGACACATAGACACTGCTGCCATCTATGGAGATGAGGAGGAAGTTGGCCAAGGGATAGCAGATGCGGTCCAGAAAGGCATAGTCACCAGGGAAGAGCTGTTTGTTACTACTAAGGCGAGTACTGAACTAAATTACTATTATGGAAGGACTTCTTTTTTGATCGAGTAGAGCGCGTAAGTATTTCATGATCTTGACAGCTCCGTAATCACAGAACACAGAATGAAGTTAGAAGGGTGATCATATACTGCACGTACAGGAACCGATGTCGACGGCTCGCCACCACTAAACTTCCACCTAATAAGTAGATAATAGCCAATCAAATGACGCGACATCAAACAATCGCGCGTTCGGCTGCGATCGTTGAAGTAAAGCAAATTTCGCAGTGGTCGGTCATTGGATGGGTGACCAAAAAATTACTATCTCGAGCTCCTCCGTGCTTCGGGAGGCACGTTAAGCCGTTGGTCCCGGTTGCATCTGCAGTCGTTAGCACCCACCAATCCGTACTGGGCCCGCGTGGTGGGTCATGGCCCAAACTCCCTATTCCATCCATAGGGAAGGCCTGCGCCCCAGCAGTGGGGACATTAATAGGCTGATGATGAACTATGGCGCGCCTGCCCCCCACAAGGACCTTCTAACCTCTTTCTGTGTTCTGTGTCCGTAATCTATCGAAGTGTCAAAGTTTCTATAAAAACTAAGTAGCGTAAGAACAACCTGGCTGTTTCCATACAAAACGATAGAAACGCGCTAACTTCCATTATGATAAGTAGCTTTTCAATAATTTTATAACATTAAAATCAAAATTTTCTTCTTTTTCATTTCACTTCATTAAGAATACAAAAAAACACACGTTTGAATGTAATATTGTCTGTATTAGCAATATTAATATTAAATTATACTAAAATCACAAATTTTAACCTTTCTCATGGGTGAAGATTTTGAAAGTTAAAATATATTGAAAAAAAAAAATGGATGCGTGTACTTATGTAGGCGCGTGAGAAGTTATCCTTCTTTGGCATCGTTTAAAATTAGTTGTTAATTGCATGCAAATAATTAATTACAATAAATTAATAAAAAGTCTGGAAAAGGACACAGTCAATAAAGTTCAGTTTTAATTTGAAAAAATAAATAAATAATCAAAATATTCAATTAAAATCGCTACTGAATATAATTTATTAGAACATAGTGATTTGCACTTGTATGAAACCCAAACACGTATTCCGAATATACAAACTAGAAACATGTGGATAAATATTATAAATATGAATACCTATAACTGTTACTTTATTACAAAAAATAAAGATGTGGTTTTTGGTTCTACTACACCAATGGTCAAGAGATGGCGCTGTAGTCTCCTGAATCGCGCTTTGGTTCCGTTGTTCTAGATTAATAAATACTTTTGATATTATAAATATGAATACCTATAACTGTTACTTTATTACAAAAAATAAAGATGTGGTTTTTGGTTCTACTACACCAATGGTCAAGAGATGGCCCTGTAGTCTCCTGAATCGCGCTTTGGTTCCGTTGTTCCAGATTAATAAATACTTTTGATAGGCCTTCACAATGCAGTCGTTAGCACCCACTTAATAGAGATTCTATTTCTATTTTGTTATTTTGTTGGTAGATTTTCTTAATGTGCGGTAAACACAAAAGTGACGCATGAAGTTGGTCGCTAAAGCGACCAACTTCATGCTGTTAAAATTTTGTGTTACAGTGATGCGCGCGCATCTTCAAATTTCACTCTCATCATTTTTTCATAACGCGCCTAAAGAAGTATAACTTCAATAAAATTTAAAAGCTGCATTTTAATTGTGACATACATTGAAAAATAATACGTCTCAAAATTAAAAAGTTATTGAAGAGAATTTTCAAAATGTAATGATAAAGTCAGTTAATACAATTTACGGTTCCTTAAATGTAATACATATTTAAATGACAGTCTCAGTATATAGTTATCAACAAAGTAAAGTAATCTGTATCTGTGTGACCTTTTGTATTTGTATTAATTAAATTATTATTTGTTAGTTTAAATGTTCTGATTCATCGTAGATACGCTTCGTTTCTACTGCTTGAGATAAGCAGACCATTGACCGGAATCATTGAGATGTTTTTACCTACATTTGAAAATCTTACAATCGTTCTACCTACCGCACTACTGGGCGACTGCGGGGTGACAGCGATTTCGTGGAAAAAAAAAATCATATTAATAAAGGTACTGCATAACTGTATGCCGACGCATCGCAGTCACCTTACATGCGCGGTCGCGGCATAACAGAGCAGGGTCGAGAATTTTTGAGAACAAATAAATTTAACTGAAGCCGTACCAAAAGGAAGGAACAGATTATAAAAAACCTTTTCTTAAAAACAAGTTTTTATAAAACTATTTTTTTAACGGGTTAATGCACGAAACTTTATTTATTTATTGACGTTTCGCAGCCTTTACAGGCTGCTTCGTCAGAATGATTTTTCATTTAATTTTGTCGAGCTACCTTAGAAAACAAAAAAAAAACCTTAGAAAAGAGTGCTTTGAGTGCTTCAAAATTGAGTTGCAAGATTCCACCCGAACAAACATACATACATATTACGTTGCCACTTAAATAAAAGTTTTTTAGTAAATGACGGGCCGATTTGAGCCTGGGAAGGATAGTGGGGCGTTATTAACGGGGAAATGGTTTATTGCGATTTTCAGGAAAACTACAACTTCTATCGAAAAAATGTCAATGGCAAAATAGACTAGTTACGCCCTGTTTTCTTCATATCACTCAAATGCCATTTGTAATTCAATGAACAGAGACAAAACATGGAGTAATTAATCCAAGCCTATTCCTAAGTGGTTTTGTTTACATGAAGTCGGTTTTATAGAGTATGACAAGGATAAAATTGTGTAAAATTTAGTTGCGGAATTGTGTTAGAATTACCCTTAATTATGTATGGCGTTAGGATTTCGCTATGCCATTATGTAGCAAATTGAGTACCTATTAAAAAACGCCACAACGGATATTGTATGAAAAGATACACTCGCATATTGTACGGAGTGATACAATGTATTTAGTTTCGCTAATTTTCCTGTGTTCCCTTGAGGGTACAGAAGATACGTTTTAACCGCTGTACCCTTGGCCATGAAACCCGACCAAATTAAATTACTTGAATAATGTAATTTGGTCGGGTTAAATAATTTTTCCCGTTTGTATTTTAGTATGAGTCCGGATAACGATACCCTTAACACGAGCTATTATCGAATTCGAATAGTTTGCGATTGCGAAATATCAATGTCAAATTTTGTATGGAAACTTGAACAGCAGCGCCACAAAGTACGTAACGGAAACTTAAAATCAGTACACATCTGACAATGACATTTCGGACTCTCAAACGTTACGAATTCGATATAAGTTCGTGCTAAGAGTACGGGTCATTAGTATAAAATTTACTTATTTTTTATTTATTTTTCAGCTCTGGAATGATAAGCATGCGCGAGACTTGGTAGTGCCGGCTTTAAGGGAATCGCTGAAGAGACTTAATTTGGATTACGTCGATCTTTATTTGGTCCATTTCCCCATAGCAGTTAAGGTCAGACCATTGAGCTAATTGTCTAACTATGCTAGCTAATCTTTTTCCAAATATGAAATGAAAGGGATAGCTGAAAGAAAAAAGGTACACTACTAGGCCCGCGGAGTTTAATTGTTTAATTTCAACTTGTATCATGACTCCTTCTGGATTGTTATTTCAAAGTTATCTAAGTATAAATATATTTATTTTAAAGTGAAACTTTTGTTACATTGCTACAAATATTGTCTTTAATCTTTACCAATCCGCACTGGGCCCACGTGGTGAGTCATAGCCCAATCTCCCTATTCCATTCATAGGGAAAACCTGTGCCGCAGCAGTGGGGACATAATATAGTTTTTGGGGCTAATACAGTTGCAGTACAATATTGGTTCAAGTGCATTAAATACCAAAAATTTTAATGGTTGTTTAACGTTGGATGATTATGTTTTATCTATAATGCTTACTCTGATTGCATTGTCACCGATAAGCTGCTAAAATAGATTTTAAGTTAATTAAGGAGTGCTGCACGCCGGGCTGTCGCATTAGCAAGAAGTTACCGACGCGCACTTGGTTGGTGGAGTCGGGAGTTTCGATGTTCGTGGACTGTAGAAATAAAACTCCAAGAATTCGCCGAAGAGAATGCGGTAGGTGCCGATGGTGGATCACTGCTAGGGAGCCTTGTAGAGAGAACCGCTTCCTTTTTCTTCCTATTTGTTCCTTAGAGCGTCGGTTGCTGAATAACGTGCCGGACTTGATTTTGCTCCGACTTTTATATCTGCGCGATGACCTTGAACAGTGATCCATCACCCCACCCACGCTATACTTTATTTTCATTTATTAAAAATATACCATGGCATGGATTAAAACTATTTACATACGGTTAGAGCATACAAAAAGGCATAATTTTAGCCGTGGCGGGAAAAAATCTCTGCGCGTGATATTTATAGTCCGCCCCACCACGCGCCCATGCTTGCGTCACGCTACCGCGTCCCCCCCGACGCGCACTCCGCGCATCTCGCGAGGCCCGTGTACAACGAGCTCGTTATGCTATACTAAACATTCGGCCTTATTTTACACATACTTGAAACTTATCTATTTACATAGCTTTTTGTTCCTAACCTAACCTATTCTAATAAGATCCTAACGATACTAACTCTATAAACTACTTATTTAGCCTTACAAAGTCCTATACCTATTTCTTGGATAAATACCTTTTTGTACCTAATTTCTACCTATTTATTGTATTTAGCCCTGTACAGATAATAACGATCGAAAACAAATGACTTAAACAATTAAGATTGCTTACAATTTCTACTAACCTAAACTATCAACACGAACTATGACCCATTGCCATAGCAACCGTCTATGCGGATTTCTAATATTAAAATCTATGTTATATCGAAACTATCAACTATCCTATGAAAATAATGCGTGAATCTGCTATAAAATACTGATATCTATCCGATTAACAAACAAAATCACATATAGAGTCACTTATCAATTATTGATTATAACAAAGTGCTACGACGTCTCTCACTGCACTTATGAAATTTCGTCTTTGTTATTTCGGTCGTCTCGTACATAAGGATTCCTTAGCTTTTGCTAAAAACTCTAAATTATATAGTTAATTGTTTTTCCAGAGTGACCGTTCGCCAGACAACATTGATTACTTGGAGACCTGGGCGGGCATGGAGGAAGCTAAAGAGCTGGGCTTGACCAAGTCCATAGGAGTGTCAAACTTCAACCAAACGCAGATTGATAGGCTAGTCGCTAAGAGTAAAGTCAAGCCCGCTGTAAACCAAGTGGAGGTAAAGTGACGAGTGTGAGCTGAGCGTGCTTGCACAAATTATTTTATAGTACAGAAGGCAATCTCATGTATGATCTCATCTGTTGAAGATGATAATGTATATTTTCACCAAATATAAATAACACTCTTTGTATTTATACTGTAAGACACATCAATCAAAATGCAGGTGAACAATTAATGTATATCTCACATTATGTAATGAAAGGTGACTTCAAAGGGGATGAATCATCTTTGAAGTCATTTGCAATTTGACGACTCTGTAATTAATAAAACAGGCAGAGAATAACAGCCCGTGTTCAGTTTCTTGCCGGTTTTTCTCAGCACAAGGTCTCCCGCTGTAGATTCAAGAACCGATGGCGCAGCTTTTCTTGACATTGATGAATGCTTGTAACAGCCTAAAGTGAAGAATGATTTTAATTATTATTATGTCCTATTTCACTTAGCATACCTACGTTCGGGATCGCGCTAGGATTGCCAACTTTGGATAATGCACAAAAAAACGGTTAAAGGCCTCGTATATAGTTGTTTGATTTATTGTCGAGAATGAAACAGAAAGATCTATTAAATAAACCAATAATAAGTAAAATATTTAAATTTTAATGTCCATGTCATGTATATTGTTGGTAAAAAAAAAACGTCACTTCACACGTTTAACTTTGAATTTAAAGAACCATCTACTGAACATACATAATAACTTTTTTGTCTCAAGTAGGTCTTAACTGGTCCGAGATATCATGTCCGTGAGCGGTGTGTATGTGTGCGTTGCTCGAGCGCACTTTGTATGTAGATTATCTTCTGTACTATTTATTTTGTGATGCTTGGATGTGTATGTATGCGCGTTAGCATTTTTCTTCAAAACTACTAAGCCGTATATATTTCACTATTTTAAGTGATATCATTTCAGAGCAAATAAATCTTTCATAAGCGATCATATTTTCAACAATAAAGTCTGTTTAAAAGAATTCAAGTCCATGAGGAAATTCGAAAATGTTAATGTGATTTTTTTTAAATCTCCACTCTTTACCAGTAAAGTAATATAACATGCAAATCTAGGGCGTAAAATATATTAAAACACTTACAAAATTTCTCAATATAGGTATGCTATATTTGGAATTGGTTTGGCCTAAATTGTTGTACTTTACTCATTATAGAGTAGAACGCCGATTATCCGAATTAATTGGGACCGGGGTCGCTTCGGATAATCGGACATACATTGGTAATAATGCAAATCGAAGTGTCACACATAGAATAAACCTTATCAGTTTAAGAAACACAGTTCGGCAATACTAAATACAATAATAGAGGTACATAGTAGCGAAAAAAAAACCGCGCCACGCAAAACATGCAGTGTCTTGCCTCTATAAAGCTTTTAACCATAAAAGTTGAAATATATCTGGACTTCAGCGAGTTCCAACTTGTTACAACAAAACAAAACAAAAACAATTTGGTTTTAATTTTATATAATACGCTTAGGATTGATTTGGATAATTGGCTATTCGGTTAATCGGCGTTCGGATAATCGGCGTTGTACTGTACTTATTTATACCATTATAATATCTTTGGTTGCATTTCAGGTCAACCCGACTCTAACGCAAGAGCCACTAGTGAGCCACTGCCAAAACCTTGGCATAGCTGTAATGGCGTACAGTCCCTTTGGTTTCCTGGTAGCCAGGAAGGATCGCGAGGCACCACCCCCTAGAGCAGACGACCCTGTTCTCGTGAGGATGGCACAGAAATACGGAAAAACCACGGCACAGATTGTGTTGAGATACTTGGTAAGAATTTTGGGTTCGGAAGATAATTTAAAATAGGATAGAGCTCGAGGGTGTATTATTTTTTTATTTTTACTCATAATTATTATTCGGTCTTTGCCTATGAAATTGCCGTTTTTCATTAAATAAGTCAACGCCGTACCTATTCCATCAATGCATTTTTGTCAACGTAGTCCTAGCTTATTGATGCCCCCTTTGATAAAGTCTGCAGGACAGGAGGCAACAAATTCTTCAAAGGCGGTTGAACTGCCTCTCGGTTAGTAAATTTTTTTCCTGCAAAGAAGTTATCCAAATTCTGGAAAAAACTATAAGTATGCAGGGCAAAGTCTGGTGAGTACAGTGGATGATGGAGAACTTCCAACCCCAGCTCTTGTAACTTTGAGACCGTCTGCTGTGTAGTATAAGATCACGCGTTGTCGTGCAGGAGCAGCGGAACCGAACGATTGACCAAATACGGTTGGAGATGTGCGAGCTCCTCCATAATTGTGTTCAGTTCTTCACAGTACACATCTGCAGTACACGTTTAGTAAGAAGCTGTAATGAATGACACGGGCGCTAGACCACCAAACAGTGACCATCGCTTTTTTAGGGATTAGTTTTCGTTCGGGGAATTGTTAAGGCGCTGAAGCAGGATCCAACCACTTGCTGAGCGATTGCGATTGTCGATCAGATCCATTTTCGTCACAAGTTACAATGCGATTCAATATGCCTTCGTTTATGTGCCTGTTGAGCAGTGCAAGGCTTGACTCGACGCGTATTTCACTATGGCGATCATTCAATCAGTGTGCCACTCAGTTGTCATGCTTTTTTACCTAGCCAATATGACGTAAATAAACCAAATTGTTTTGATGTTAACATCAAAAGCTGCTGCTAAATCACCTGTAGATTGTGAATCATCAGCTTCCACAATCTCCTTTAATTCGTCATTGTCGACTAAGGTTTTCGGTCGACCACATGGTTCATTTATTAGGTCAAAATTTCCAGAACTGAAGCGGGCAAACCAATAATAGGTTGTGCAATCGTTAGTGGTATTCGCTCCGTATACGTCGTTGATGTTGCGTTCCGCTTCTGCCGCTTTACTGCCACGACGGTTCTGTTACTCCATAATCACTCGAATTTTTAACGTATCCATGATGACGAAAAACGTACAAATGCGCTGAAAACGGAAGCTATCCATTAAACAAATGACTAATTGTCAAGAGTTCCATATTTTAAAAATAAAAATTATTCGAACTAAGAATGCTTAGCCAAAAAAAATTCAAAAAAATGGACCTGAGATAGCCAGTACGGCAGAACGGCAATCTCTTAGGTAAAGACTTAATATAAAAAAAACTAATCTAGAAAGAACTTCACTCGGTCCAGGAATAAGACAGGGTTCGTCTTCCGCTACCCGGGTGGACGCACTGCCTGATACTTGGCTGGATCAAATAGATTTTGTCCACATAGAAATTCTTTAGGTATAGAATAGAGGATTTTAAATGAAATAAAATTATCTTTTTATTTATTTTTTCACAGATCGAAAGAGGCCTAATACCAATTCCAAAATCGACAAACAAGGAGAGAATCGCACAGAACATCGATCTATTCGATTTCAAACTCACAAAAGAGGAAATAGATACTATTAGCCTTTTCAATAAGAACTTAAGAGTTGTCAGTACACCGTTTTGGAAGAATTATCCCAATTATCCTTTTTGAAAACATACTCCATTAAGTATAACACTTAAAAAAAAACGATAATTTTTAGTTTGTAAGCTGCATTTTTTTTAATTTCAATTGACAGAAAATAAAATAGAACACGCAAACCAGTTAGTTGGGAGAATTGTAGAGGACTTTCTGCAGCGTTTAAATATGTATTGCATAAATATTTTTTTTTTCCAAAATCTGTGTTTCCTTTTCTAAATTAATTATTTTCATGTACCTACCGGTTAGTGCTACAGCAGCAAATCTGTCTACTGCTGTTTTTTACTCTGTTACTGTTACACAATCTTCAAGTTTTCTGCAATATTATGGTTATTCATAAGAGTCTAAGGCGCGTATTATAGAAAGATTCTCAGTGATTGATCTAGTCTTGAGCATAGTTAGAAAGGGATGTCGCTATATATAGCACATAGCGACATCCCTTTCTAACTGCACTCAGGTGAAGATCAACTCTTAGTTGTCATTCTGTAATACGGGCCTAAAAGTTATAGCATGTGCAAGCACTTATAGTAGCTATAACATTGTATGGATTTTCTGGGTGCAACATTGTAAATTCAAACATAGGCTAAGTCCTGTTTATAATGCAATATATTACTCCATCTTTAATCATCTTTCTTTATAGTCAAAAGTGGGTCTTAAGAGTTAAATTATAGTTAAACGAATTAACCAAGAAATAAAAATCGATAACCAAAGATATTTGACTAGCTATGTTCGTTTGCTACACGATTTAAAGAAAACAACAAAAAAACAATTCATTTCTACAAACACTTAATGATTCAGAGAGATGCCATAAAAAAAGAAAAAGAAGAAGAAGATTCAGAGAGACTTTTTGGCGGGATCGGGAAGCGTCACTTTAGCAGTTTTGTTTTTCTTGTTAAAAATTGTGTTGTGGCGGATGTTAGTGTATAATAATGGTGGATTATTAACTACCAAGTGTTCGGGAACATGCACAAATGTTGGCAAGTGAAACAAAATAGCGGAAAGTATCTTTCGACGTTCCCTCAAGAAGTCCACGGGGAGGTTCTAGTAAATCCCCGCACTTTTACTGAAACATAGGGAAAGGGGGATTGATTTGACTGCTACTTACTTTGACTTGATTTATTACTTTGACCACGAGTGCTATAGTATTTGTAAACATTTTAACACTTGACATTGGCTAAATGCACAAGCCGTGCGAAGCCATTAAAAAAATGATTCAGAAATAATAGTATATTAATTCTCTACAAACAAAAAATGTTCCCACGACACCATCAGTCCGGCTCAATGGTAACTGAAACAAGAAGATATTTACTGATAATATTTAAATAAAAAATACTAAAGTTAATAAATATATAGAAAACATGCGCATACATTCATGTTTCTCATTCCAATTCGATTGAACATACGCGATGGTATAAATAAATATCTAACAAATACTCTTTTGCTAGCACAACATAAGGAAAATTTCTGGTGTTGTGACTTTTTATCTCCGCAACTGATTCAATATTTTTTGTACCACCACCTTTAGATCAGTCACGGTATACGATTTTGGCACTCATCATACTACACGTAAGAAATAAGGTTTATAATTTAGGGTGTCTATGGATGGACCTGCGATCCTTTCTTCTTATTTTAAATGGCCTTTTATTAGAATTTCGTCGGTACTTACGCTATCTAGTTGTTTGATTTACTGTCGGGATTAAAATATTAACTAATAATAAATAAAATATTTCAATTTTAATGTCATTGTTATATTACAAATAAAAAAAAACTACAATACATCGTTTAACGTTAAATTGAAACAACCGCCTTCTTAACAGATATAATAGTACGTAAGTTTTTTTGTTGCATATTTTATATGAAACATCATAGACGCGTATCCCAAAAAGATGGAACTCGCGCTTGCAGTGGTCTCAACTGGTCCGAGATATCATCTCTGTGAGCGGTGTCTATGTGTATCTATGGATTCACCTGCGATCTTATCTTCATATTTTAAATGGTCTTTATTAGAATTTCGTTGCTTTGCCATAGCGCATTTTAAAGTAAAAATCTTAAAAAAATAAAAGCCGTTACTACCTTGTTGTTGTCAAACCAATATCTGATGATTTGTTAAGTGTGGATATTTTCATCATTATGACTAGTAGGTATACAAATCGAATTTTCGAATACAAAAACTGCTATGTGAATTCAGCATTACTTGTTGTAGGGCCCCGTTTCCGCACGTAGACTCCGTACTTGGTCCATTGTGCGTGCAGGATATGTTGGGCTAGCTAGCTTAGACAGTCCAGCTACTTCCAGAAGCGCAGTAGTTTCCTGGGACTCTCACAGACTAGGAGCGTCCTCGGCTCCCCGAGGATTGATGCCCGGTGTTCTGCCACGCTCGTGCATTCCAGGATCACATGAGCGGCCGTTTCACCATTAACGGTGAACAGACGTTGCTTAAAAAAAAATTATGTGCATCATTTTGAATACTGTCAAATATTAATAGCTGTGTTTTATTATTATATTTTTTGCACATGGCAGATATTGGTTTGGCAACGACCGTTATTTTATTTATGTATAAAAACGATCGACTTAAGTTATGACGGTTTTCTTTATTAAAAATATAGAAGTCAATTGTGTTGAATTCATTGAGTGTTTTTTAAAAGTTCCTATTTTGTACTGGTTCCATTTTATCACAACTTGTTTTTTCGATAAAAGTTTTTAGCATCCCTTTTTCTTCGTCTTATGTTCAAGCGGTCTCTATCACTCGGACAGGTGGAAACCCATACCTCCCTATGCGGTAATGTTAAAAACACCTTGCACATCAGCTGGTACCCAGTATTTGATGTGAGTCTTGTGGTCCTGATGAGTCCTTCAAAAGGTTGAAGAGCAATTGGAATAAATAATATTGACCTACTTCAAAGTTCACGTTGCATTTTGGTACAAATTGCACGTTTTTTGTAAAAATATCTTCACATTCTGTTTTTCACACAATAAGTGTGGAATTAGTGCGAAGTGCCCCGATAACATTTTAAAAGATCATAAAATAAAGATTTCGTTTTTTTATAATATAAGCCGTATAAAGTAAGCGAAATAACTTTAAAACATGTGAAAATTCGTTGGGAACTCTTGTCAATGGATTGTATAAGTACTTCATCCATGACTAATATTTTATATCTACATGTGAAATAATAGCTCTGTCTGTCTGTGACTCAAATGTGTCTAAGCTGCTGAACTGATTTTTCTTAAATTGTATGGCTATAGAAATTTTTAGTATGATTGTGAATGGAACTGGGTAGAAACGCAATTATGTTTTATTACCAATATTTAAATTAAAGGAGATGAAATACGACACAGAACTCTGTATCAAAGATACTGATTATTTCACGCAGCTGAACTCGCAGGCACCGACTAGTTTATACTAAGCCTACAAAAAGTAAGGAGAGCCAATTTAATGCCTATTTGAGACGAAAAACGTCGTGTCACATCTATGAGTAACTCTAAAAATACACCATGCGAATTTCCGAAGCTTTTTGCTAACATTGTATATAAGGCTCAATGTTCTGGAGGCAGTCAGTCCGTGTTTGGAATCAGTGCAAGATGGACCTACTCCCACTTTTCATTGCTTTGTCCGCCGGTGGAGCATCCAATGTGAGTAATTACATAAATAACAGTCAATTATCCTATTAGAATATTTCTATTTAATAAGAAATTTGATTGATTCGTGAATTTTAAAGTTCAGATTCTCTTTTTTTTAGGAATTTTCGTATTCACCTTTTATGGGATGGGTTACCACCAAATATAATCTCGAACTCCTTCGTGCTTAAGCTGACGGTCCCGTTTGAATCTGGTGTCGATAGAATCCACTAACCCGCATTAGACACGCATGGTGCGTCATGGCTATATATCCCTATTTCTTCAAAAGTCAAGTCAGTCGGGACAATAGAGGCTAATAAATTATGATAAAAGTTTTGTTTTTTGAGTAAAATAACAATAACATATTTACGTTAACTTCCTTTAGCTATTTTCCCTTTTAGCTATGATATGGCGGTCTTTAAAAGACGGGAAAACCTGTCCTTCAGAGCTGGCAACGCATGACTACCAGGGTACCAATACCCTTGGTGCTGCAAGTGTTTATGGGAGGCAGTTATTGCTTACCATCAGGTGGACTGCCAGCTCGTTTGCCTGCATAAAACAATATAATTAAGTCTCCGTTGTCCACCATCTATCCAGCAGGCATTTTATGAACCTTAACAAGCAGATTGTTGAATTTTTCACACGTTGTAAATTTCAATAAAGTTGTGATTAAAGGCTTGTTCAGCTCTGGTCATGGCGGACTGGAACCCTTTTTTACATTTCTCGCGATATATTAGTGTTTATTAAATTTCCAATTCACATGATCCCTGCCTAGTAAAATTCAATAAAGAAAGCGTTAGAACCAGTAAAGGTCTATCACCCGGGGCCTCACACTTTCCCTGGTTTAGCTTCAATGTTGGCATCAAGTAGGACTCCTGTTTTCTGTACATCGTATATCTCGACAACTGTCAGCCGAGGTATGAATATGTGGATTGCAATTATTGGCTTATTGCAATAGCTGCTGCCTGTTGACGCAGTGGCAATAGCGGAAAACCTATTTGACTTGCAGGTAAATTCTGGACTCCGTGATAAAAATGTTGTTATAAATATTGTTTTTTTTATTCATCTATAGCATGCCGTATTAAAATTTTAATTATTATCAACAAGCGTCGGTGGTCCAGTAGTCGCCTGCTACGCGGATTTTAAATTGCATCTCTACGGCGTAGTGGTTAGGGCCTTCGATCTGCGGTCGAAATAAAAAAATATTATCACGAGTTCCTCCATGCTTTGGAAGATATGTTAAGCCGTTGGTCCGCTGCTGCTGCAGCAGTCGTTAGCACCTGTCAGTACGTGGTTAATTTCTGATAAGCTCTGGTCCGTTTCCAATATTCCGTCTATAGGAAAAGCTTGTGCTTCAGCAGTGCTGATGATGACAATAGCTTTTTGTTGAACAACAACCGTAGAGGCGACCGCTTGTTCAATTATTTTTAAAATCAATACGGTTTAACCTTGATAACTTAATATACTCCTAACCTAATCAATAAAACCATGACGCACCAACCCCATTGAAAATGGATTCCATTATTTTCGGTTAGTCGTGTGTAAAACTTCACCGTTTTGGTGAATTATATTTTGATTTTTGTGGAAACAGCATCGCTTTACGACGACAAAAGGCAGACGATCGAGTAAACTATAATTATCTATCGCCTGTACATCTGTAACATATATATTGTAGGCATACCCTGAAGTATTGACATAGTTCTGTCAGGGATTTTCGATCACTCCGTACAGTTTCGGAGGCATCATAGGTTATGGTGGCAGCTTATCACCAGTCGAGCCATATACTTTTGTATATAAAAGATTTGAGGGCGTTTGATCACAACCGCACCTGATATTAAGCAATGATGTGGTCTATACTGGAGCTCGCAATCTCAAATAATGCCTATTTAATATTGCCACTATACACTATTTTAAACAATATTTACATTAACATTATTCCTCTATGTAATTATTCATTGCTGCTTCAGATGGCTTCCGCTACAATTGCACCGACCATTGAACTCCACGATGGAAACAAGATACCTGTGATAGCATTGGGAACTAATAAAGTGGTAAGTGGGATTTCTTCTTAGTTTATGTAATTGGGGATATAACATAGTAAACGTAGTGACAGGTGTCAGGATCCCAAAACAAAGCAGCATCAATTATTTGGGTTATTTCCGGTGAGCTGCAATTGAGAAAGGGGTGAATACAAGTGATACCCTGGAACTACAAGCGCTGACGTTTTCTATGGAGTAGATATGTAGCATTCTTTCTCACAATAGGCAATAAAGTTCCATTGTGGGCACTGGGAGCCATCAAGGTCGTCCCCTTGTATAGGATCTAGAGAAAATTGGGGGATGTTGAAGGGGCATAAGAGGACAAAAACTATCTATTCTTTGTATTTTATATTATGCTTTATATTCTACTTTCGTTTTTTTTTATTGAAACAAGAGGTATATCGGTTCCTATTATTTCGACTTTTTTACTGTCTCGTTGAAATAAACCAGAAATGTTTATATGTCCGATTACACAATAACGTAGTTTTAAGATGGCAGACTTTAATTAGCCATATTTACCTCGGGCAAAATTGTATAATGCATAATTTTGTTTTTTTTTCGATAAAGAGTGAATGCCAAATGATTTTCTGCGAAATGAAGTTGATGCCATCCGCTGATATGCATATAATACTATGTCAATAAATTTTCTGCGATAAAAGGTAGACCCAATCTCAGGTCTTTAAGCTATATTGGTTTTTTGCCACTAGACAGGCAATATACTTATTTCCCATCCTTTTTAAATAAAAAACGTTTTTAGAAAGGAGATGTGATGCGTCAAACTGTTAACGTTGCGGTGGAGGCGGGATTCAGGCACTTTGACACCTCTTTCCTGTACGAAAACGAGGAGGACCTCGGCAAGGGCATCCATGACGTCATTGAGAAGGGGCTGGTAAAGAGAGAAGATTTGTTCATTACTACTAAAGTAAGTAAAAGATTAAGCTTTTGTTAACCAACAAAAAAAGCGTATCTATCTATTTAAAATATTGTTTTACATTTAGATTAAGCATCGAAATCCAAGGTCCATTTGAAGAATGTCATGTATTATTAAAATTTTTTTAGCACTTTGTTGACCTGACTTTTTAATCTATCCATGCTAAATTGTAACTTTCTAGTCTTAGAATGATTAGGCTAAGTTGCAGACTGACTAAAGGACGGACATAGTAAAAATAAAAAAATCCTTGTTGACTTTGTAGACTTTCGAACCTAAAAAAGAGAAAGGTTAAAGGTTTGGTAATCGGTACAAAAAGTGGCGTAAACATGTATCGCATTTGGTTAACAAACCTCTTATTTCACAGCTGTGGTACGTCAAGCATGGTAGTGATCAGGTGCTGTCTGCGCTAAGAGAGGCTCTGGGAAGACTCGGGCTTGAATACGTGGATTTGTGCCTTATTCACACTTTTGATTATGAAAACGTAAGTTATTAAAATATTTTCCACAAGCAGTCGCATAAACTTTCCATAAATAGCTTCATATTGGAATACCAGGAAAAATCCTAACATATTCCGGGTACCAATGATTTTATGTCTAGGATGCAGAAGGTATTTTTGTGATGTATAAAAAGCATTCGATTCGTATGTTATGAAATATGCAGGCCGGCAATGTGAGGATGTGGTAGGTATAACTGCTGTACCAGTAATCTTTACTTCTAGACTTCACCGTTACTTAACATCGGCGGGGTAGAGTCATTTTCGGACATATCTATAAAAAAATGCTATCGATATTGTAACATTATGGTCTTTTGGATTGACTTTGTTACCACCATATTTTACTAATAGAACACGAAAAAGTTATAATTGAGATAAATTCTGTAGGAGCTCTTTTTCTCATGGGGATACCCTGGGGCTCCATACTAGACCCTTTATTGTTTTTCATGTATAATAAATCTTTGTACATTACAGTTTTATTAAGACAGTGAACTTTCTTTATGGTTAGAAGCGATAATCCTTTTTTTCAAGGTTTTATAAAATGCATGCAAGAATTAAGTAAATATAAAAAAAAAACTAGCTGTGCCCGCGACTCGTTCGCGTGGATGTCGGAAAATATCAGCTTGTAGGCGACATGATTTTTTTGATGATGTGGAGCGCTCTTCTTACATTTCTTTAAGCTAATACCTAATTCTTTGTAAACGATATAAATATATTAGGTACGTATTGCTCAATAGCAATATAATGTGTTATACAAAAAGTGCAGACTTGCTATATAGACAATTTATTAATTTTGCAATTATCTCCTAGTATTATTTGCAGATAAAAAATAGCAATACAAGCTGGTTGTATACTTTTTCACAGTAAATTTTATCGTAGTAGAGGTCGCTTATATTTTTGTAGAAATTTGAATTTTATACTAATATGAGACATATCAAGATTCAATGAGTTTTACTTGAATTTTTTTAGGAGGATGGTTCTCCTGCCGATGTCGACTTCCTAGATACATGGAAAGGAATGGAGGAAGCGAAAAATCTAAGTCTGACCAAGTCCATCGGTGTGTTTAACTTCGACACAGAACAAGTGAAGAAAGTTATGGAGCACAGCCAGATAAAACCCGCTGTTAACCAAATTGAGGTATACATTAAACTGCCTTCCAATCTTTAATCTGTTCTCCCTTAGCCGTCTATATATTTTGGATCAAATATTATAAAATTTTTAGTTCATGAATTCTGTTTTGTCTCTTTCTCTCTTTTATTAATTTTTGATTACATGATTTCTGTATTCCTCAGTAACGAGTTAAATGTTGCAGAGTATCTCTAAATGTTTTTGCTTAGGAAGCTGATGAGGGAAAGACGTAAATTGAGGCCTATTTTTAATTTACAGAAAATAAAAAAGAAAGCATTAAGCAAAAGTAAAGTTTAGTAATTTAAATATAATGATCATGTAAAATAACTACCTAACTCCCTGAACCACTAAGAATCTCAAATTTAATAATAATAATAATATATTTATTAAAAATTACATCATAAAGTCAGCTTATAACCATTCCACACTAGGAGGTCCTGTATCGTGAGCACCAAATGAATGTAAACAAGATTGAAACAAAGAAATAGTAAAATTACAGAATACAGATGATTATTTGTGGAACAACGTTATAAAGTATTAAAGTGTTGGATTGTGTGTGTGATGAATGTGTGATTTCGTTGTATAGTATTTATTATAGTAAAATAACGTATGATTCTCAGATCCACCCAGCACACACACGCGAAGCTTTGGTATCAGAAATGGAGGAGCTCGGTCTTAAAGTAATGGCGTTCAGTCCTTTAGGATTCCTGGTGGACAGGGGTCAGAAGGACGCTCCTGCTCCACACATTGACGACCCTGAACTGACCAAAATAGGAGAGAAGTACAGCAAGACCACAGTACAAGTTGTGCTGCGGTATTTGGTGAGTGATAGAAAAGTTGATTCTTGCAGGTTCTTTTCAGTACAAGGTCTTCCACCTAAGGCCGTATACAGAAAGAAAGCCGAAAGCCGATCAGCGCCGATTTGATTATGATCATTTATCGCCATTATGATCTATGTTGTCCGAATAATAAATAATATATTTGAATTATTATCCTTAGATTAAATCAATCTAAGTTATAATCTTTTTATAAATCTAATAGCTTTATCTTCTATTAACTAAGCGCTAAAATTATTTGTTTCGTACTTACCGAATGGTGACAACAAGTCTTTCTTCTGGAAGGATTGGTTGTTTATGCCAATTGCACCAATTTTTGATCAAACGGTTTTTCACTAAATCCAAAATGTAATAAAATGTTTCTTGAGTCATTCTTGTATATGTATAAAATCTTTGATCATCAAATTTCAATTTTTTTACAAATAAATGATGGTATTCTCCGAAACGTTTCCTTTCGCTGTCTATAGGTGTATAGCTTTTTTCGCATTTTTAAATACACATTTTCTAACAAAACCAAATCATCGTCTGATGAGTCCGACATTTTGCTTGCTCTGCTTTAATCGGCTTCCTTTATGTAGTAAGGATCGGCGCCGATAAGCGCTGATCGGCTTTCGGCTTTCTTTCTGTATACGGCCTAAGTTTTGGGAACTAATGTGTCTTTTTTACAAGGCGCAGCCAAAGTCCATTCACGGAAAGGAAAGGGAATGGTGTCTTTGTACAACGTGCGAGTAATGGTCTCTAAAGTCTATATTGGCCGCTAATAATGCTATTTTGCAACTCTTCTTAATAAAAAAAGTTAGATGTTACGGCAGAAAAGCATGCTGTTACGACCGCAACTTCTTCACATTGTTAGCCAAATGAATACTCGAGAAGACTTAGGCCCGTATTATAGAAAGATTCTCAGTGATTGATCTAGTCTTGAGCATAGATAGAAATGGATGTCGCTATATATAGCACATAGCGACATCCCTTTCTAACTGTACTCAAGTAAAGATTAACACTTAGTTGTCATTCTGTAATACGGGCCTTAGAATTTACCAAACGAAACAACACCATATAGATATAGTATTTTGTTTGTTACAGCTTTTATTCATAAAAATTGGGTACCCTATTGCTTTATTATTTTGTAGCATTTCGACTTTTAAAAGCCTTGCAACTCTGTATTGAATAAATACTTCTGAATTGAACAAAAACGATTTGGTTTGAGGAGGATCTCGATTGCATCTGCTGGATTAAGAGTTTCTGTTTGTTCATGTGCTAAAACGCTCATATTCTGTATATGCTTCAATCTTTAAGGAATCATAATATCTGTGTCCTATCACAAGGGACATATTTTAATATATATATTAGGAACATTGGAGTTACCTTATCTTTGGGCAAAGATCAAAATAGAAAATGTCTATCAATTAACAGAATAGTTTAGTACTACATATTTAGATTAGGTAAACGGGTGGTAGCTCTATAGTATAGTAACCTGGGATCCTTTAAAAGAGGCGTGAAGAAGCAACATGCAGGCCGGCAGGGTGAGGATGGCTGGTGCGGTAGGTAGAACTGCTGTATCAGCTATCTTCGCGTCTGGACTTCACCGTCACTTAATACCAGGTGAGGTGGAGTCATTTGTCGGATCTATCTGTAAAAAAATATTACAGGATATGTCTGGCTGAGAATTTGCGATATATTGGCCCGTTGTTATATATCGGCGGAAGTAGGACATATAAATTGAAATATGTTAACACTATATGTATCTCATAATACAACTAGTTAATGCTATCTCACAATACAACTAGTTCGCTATTAAATATTAAAAATATGTTCTCCGATATGATTAATTGATAAAAATATAAGTAATTATACTAGTAATGACTGTAATGATAAATTATAGTAAGTATACATATTATAATGCGAAAGGAATTTTCCCCAATCTATTATCTTTTTTAAAGTTGTAATTTTTATTTTTTAAGCATGTAACTGCTTGATGTTTAAATCTAAAGAAAATATAACTAGAAAAAAATCCACGCGGACCAGGCAGCAGACGGGACTCGAACCCGCACCCTTCGCTATCCGGGCGAATGCACTGACCAATTATGCTACCGCAGCCCTAACGGAGCGCGTCAAAATTCTTCTAGCCATTCTTAAGTTTCTCATTGAAACTTTGAGCTGCTCTGCCATCCTTACCATTTGAAAAGAAATATATTAATTAGTGTATTTCTGTAATATAATTTTCTTCATTACAGATCGAAAGAGGCGTAATCCCAATTCCTGAATCTACTAAGAAAGAGCACCTGGAGCAGAACATCGATATTTTCGACTTCTCTCTCACACCTGAAGAAGTTGCTACCATCAACAAGTTTAACGTCAACAAACCCGTATTTAATCCTGAAGATGACGATTAATAAATATTTTAAAATTTACAGCGGTTGTATGAAATTTAACACCCAACCCTTTCTGTATAAATAACCTGTAATTTAACTCTAAAAATTCCTATACATGATACAACCTTCTATGGTCGTTTTTTTACCGTCCAAGCTGTATGTCTATGGAATTCTCTTCCAGTATCCATAAGACGAGCACAATCTATTAATGTCTTTAAAACTCTAGTTGTAAATCACTTTTTGTCGATGTAGCTGCAATTTTATCTCTGCTGACTGGACTGAACTTATATATGTATAGTCTATGTATATATGTATGTATATATATTTATTTCATAAAATCGTTTATTACCCTTTGATTCTTTTACGGACACCGCCAACTCCAGCTTTCTTTCAATCCTCTCCATCCAAAGGTTGTCTGGAAGAAATCGCTTGTAGAGATAAGACCGCCCATTGAAGCACCCTTTTTTTTACAATTGTAATTTCCCTCATTTTTGTTCTCTGTTGTGGTGTTTTCAATAAAGCATTATGTATTGGATTGTATAACTTCCAAAAATCAAGTGTAGGAATTAATAAGATACGTGACAACCATGTTTATATATAACTAAAACACGCATCGTTGGATTCCTCGTGTTCTCTAGATTAAAACAGGGTTAAAGGCCCACTTGTAGCAAATTTCTAGCTAAATCTCGATTCAACTAAAACTATATTGAATCCATAGAACAATTGACATTATCGTATGAGCTAAATGAAGTTATGGCTAATGCGCTATTTAGCAAAGCTGCAAGTGGGCCTTAAATTGTTTTCAATTATCAAGGCCACTAACATTATAGTTATTAGCCGGGCTGGTACCATTGGCTGTAACCGACTACTTATTCCATGATCATGGCATGGCGCTTGCAACAGTGCCGAAATATCGGAGGCACAAAACAGGGTACATAATAGCAACCCTGATAATAACTATACTTCATTACAGATAATAATAAAAAAGAAGTTAAATTAGGTTCTTTTAGCAGGTGCACATTTTCAACTAATGTAATAAATAAAACTAGTTTTTACGGGTTAATGCACGAAACTTTATTTATTTATTGACGTTTCGCAGCCTTTTCAGGTCTGCATTGTCAGAATAATGATTTTTTATTTAAAATTGTCGAGCTACCTTCGAAAGACGTCAATAAATAAATAAAGTTTCGTGCATTAACCCGTAAAACTAGTTTTATTTAATGAGTGATGTGCGTAAAAACCTAAGAAACAAATAATGTAATAAATGTTTAATGACGCTTTTGACAATATATGCGAAAAATGTACAAACGGAGCCAGCTAAACAATGACGTACATAAAAAATACTACTTATATTATAAGAGTCGTTCGAAAGCCAAAATATTACTACATGTTAGCATTTTTATAATATTAGCATTTTTTACAGATCGGTCAATAGTACAGTTATTGTTTTTATCTTAGTTTGTCTGTGCTAAATCACGCCACATCACCTTACCTCCCCATCATCTTATCACGTGACGTGAAGGGGGGACGAACTAGCGAGTGGAGCGGTCATAAATACGGTATTCAGTCGAGAGCCTTCGTCGTGAATAGTGGTCCTAAATTTAACGTGGTGTTGCTGCTAAATATTCTTGTTATAATAATTTTAGTTTATATTACAGTGAAGTACAAGTTTAATAAAGCAAGTGGAAAATTAACATTGTGGTTTAACTTCTGGCAACTAATCTAATAGTTTCAGAAGCGGGATCGACTGAGAATATCCTGATATTCTCACTACGCCCAGAAAAAAAAAACGCAAGTTATTTTTTATTCATTTTTTTCTCATTCATAAGTGCTAATTTCATAACTCTTGTTTTATTTGACCTAATATATTTAAAGTTTCAAGAACGTTACATTTTTTTATTATTATTATTATTATTTTACATGATCATACACGTCCCAATAATGCTTCTGCATGTATCCTGCCAGGGCTACTCTCTGGGGTTACGTGTAGTTGCTGTAAAAATACACACCTTACTAGGGCTACTCTCTGGGAGTGTGTAAATGAAGTTATAATCTTATTGTTTCTCTTGAATACTTTTGCATTAAGTAATAGTAACCTCCAGAGGCTATTGCCTGGGGTACGTGTAATTGTTTTCCAAATGCACACCATACTGGGACTACTCTCAAAGGGTGTGTAAATGTGATTATATATATATATATTTTCTTCTTGAATACTTCGTGGGCTACACTCAGTTTGCATTAATGTGGCCATTGTGTAATTAAACACTGAGATATGATATAGCACTTCTCTATAAAGTATGTAATCAATGCAACTCGGTTTTGCATAAGAGTCCTTTCACATTTTTGCAAAAAACTCGCCTCGAGCGCCTCGTTTACCCCCTTAGAGAGATTTTGACTATTTCCAATAGAAGTAAACAGTAGATTTATTCTTCCTATTGTAAGTTAATGTAGACTATTTGAAAATACTATTTTCCTTTTTGTGTACTGATCGTTCTACTGCAGCTAGTTTACGGAAAAAACGATAATATGCACAACTTCAAACGCCCCAATATCTCAAAAAAAAAATTGATCAAATTAATTACTACGACATCAGAAATATGTTTTTGTTGTAACATAATGTATGAGAATTTTGATTTTCCATATCATTATGGTTACTGGTTTAAAACATTTATTTCTCAAAACAGAACACAAAATTCACTTACATGAGAAAACAAAAGAATAATCCAGTACGTGTGTATTTAGTTGGACATGCACACACTTATATCACAAATCACTATTGAAAAATGTTTTTTTTTACTATAACTGTTAATAATTTACAAATTGATGACTTAGTTCAAACAATGCATATAAATATTTGTTACGCAAACATCTGTAAAATGTGGGTAGTCCGTTTTTTGTAAGAGAAATCAAGTCTATATTACGTATCGAAATCCGTTTGCTATCAATAGCCGATACAAATTGCCTTCAGAATGATGTTAAGTTTTTATATGACGGCTGAGCTAGCAGTGGAGAGAAAGGACACCATATTTTATGATATACGCATATATACATACATCTTATGCACTATTAAATTTATATATGTTTTTAAGTAATTTTTATTAATGATTTGATAATAAGGCATTTGATATTGTTGTTAAAATGATATTGAATTATAATAGAATTACTATCAAAAACTTTCATAAAACTAATCTACCATTGAACTACTGAAATATCTATATTTTTTCATAATTAGTTCATTACTAATTACTTTATAAGACTCGAAACATCTCCCGTGAAATGCAATATATACTAGTGCAAATCTACCTACGCGCCGATCAGTACGGCAGTGGTGCAATTTCTGGGGACTACCCTATGTGCTCAGATGTTATTTTTACTCATGTACATGTTACCTTATCTTCTAAGCGTGTTTTCATTATATAAGGCTGTTCTAATTTCATCCAGATTGAATGTGGTCAGTTGTCCCTTCGTACTCTACGAAAAATGACTTTTATTTTTTATGTACACGAAATAATGTCCGTTTCAGATATGGAGGAATACAATAGAAACGGCTGTGAAGGTGGACAGACGTTTGAATCATTTAATGACCTAGGAGTGCCTGGTATGGGCCGAGGTCTACGTAATACGGACGACCTAGGAGTGCCTGGTATAGGCCGAGGTCTACGTAATGCGGATGACCTAGGAGTGCCTGGTATGGGCCGAGATCTACGTAATGTTTTTTTTTGTTATCAAGGTATTAATTTGTACAATAAAGTTAATAAAGAACTAATGTTATATCCGTTAACAGTAGGAGATTGTAAAAAAATTGTAAAAGACTGAGTTCAGGCATTAAGCTATTCAGACAGAAAATCTACTTAGCCATCTAAAATAAATTCTGTTAAGTGATCAAATTTTTGCTTATAATTAAAAAATAATTAACTACCATGCATTTATAAACGTTTCTGTTTATCTCTCAACCTTTAATTTTTTTGTTTTTGTATTTACCATGAATAAATATTATGTATATACAGGTTCAATACGGTTATGAAGAACATTGTTATGTATAGCTTATTTTCCAGGGGTAAGGACCTGGTGATCCGTAGTACAGGTTAACGCCGGTTTCGGACACCAGCTTTCGTACAATGCCCAATAATATTACTTAAGTGTTGCTTAACCTGTATTTTATGTGCTTCAATTATTGTAAGAAGAAATAAATAAATTTATTATATTATTATTATTATATTAATGCGGACGACCTAGGAGTGCCTGGTATGGGCCGAGGTCTGCGCAATGCGGAAGGCCTAGGAGTGCCTGGTATGGGCCGAGGTCTACGCAATGCGGAAGACCTAGGAGTGCCTGGTATGGGCCGAGGTCTACGCAATGCGGAAGACCTAGGAGTGCCTGGTATGGGCCGAGGTCTAAGGAATGCGGATGACCTAGGAGTGCCTGGTATGGGCTGAGGTCTACGCAATGCGGATGACCTAGGAGTGCCTGGTATGGGCCGAGGTCTAAGGAATGCGGACGACCTAGGAGTGCCCTGTTGTAGTGGCCGAGGTCAAAATTTAGAAAGTTCTGATGAGGTGGACTAATTATTGTTGTTTGTTTTATATAAAACTTTGTAACACCTTTTGACAAAAGCAGAACACAAATAAGATTTATATTCTAAGAGATTGCTTACTGTTGATCTATTAACCAGGAAACCATGCTGATGAGGTGATAAAAATGGCTTGAAATGTGAGTAAACTGTCTCATATATTAGAGATTCAAATAGCTTGGCAAAACAAGACAAAATACTGATAGGTCTGTAGTTGCTGATTTGCTCTCTGTCACCAGATTTATATATGGGAATAACATATGCAGTCTTCCAAAGACTAGGAAAAATACCACACTCTAATGACTTATTAAAAAGTATGAACAGAGGAACGCTAAGCTCATCGCAGCAGCTCTTTATAAAGTGAGGAGGGATTTAATCTGGGCTAGCTCCTTTACCAATATCAAGAGGCCGTATTTCTGCTTTAATGCTATCATAGTTTATCCTTGCGTCTGACAAAAACAAACCACGATTAACTGTTTTGTTAGGCGAGTAGAGATAGCAATTATTTTTTTCATAGACGGAACTAA